TCCTTGCTTCTCCCTCCGCCGTGTGACCGGCCTTGACAAAGAAATTTCCTCCTTGCTTCTTCCTCTCCGCCGTGTGACCGGCCTTGACAAAGTTACGCGACGCGCCTTGTAGTACACGCAGCCCAACTGACACAGATGTACGGTGTGCTGCGGCACTCGCAGGCGTTGACGAGAGACTACGCGCGCACAAACGAAATCGATCCCAATCGACCTAAAATGAATATTCTGCAAGTAATCCTCTGAAGATTCTTCCTTCTGTGGCGTGTCTTTCACGAGTTCGATTTCCCAGAAAGTCTCTTCAGGAGTATAAATGCGGTTTCTTGCTCTGTTAGCCACAGTCATTCTCCATTCGTAATTATCCGCACAAGGCCGGTGTGATGTAAGGATGTTGCAGGAGGTCGTGCTACATGGCCTCCTGGTATGACACAGCCAAGGCCTTCATTATTATTACACGCCAGAAGGGGAAGGAATGTGGACTATGCAGTGTGTCCAGACGAATGTTGGGATTCTGACTTAAAGACGGAAAGAATTTAACCTTGCAAAGCTCAATGGTAACTATATGGACCACCAGCTTTAACAGTCAATAAATTTTAATTTGGTATTCATGTTTTTCGTATAACTCTCACTGTAGAACAGCTTTAACAAATGGATCCTTGTATTGGTGGAGTCTTGTGTTTTCTTCGCGGTACGGACTGAATTCCTAAATATTATGTAGACGAGCTTCGGATTTAAACGACGTTTTTTGGCCGTGCAGTTTATTTTATTCCTGCAAAGAGTTTAAACAACCAAGTGCGTGAATATTTGTTTATCTTCTCATTAGCGTTGACATTTGATGTGTCATGGTGATTTGCAGTCTGTGACGTCACTATCACCGAATGCAGACGGCAAAAGTCGTCGTCAGATTCAAATACTTACCTGCTTCATGAAGGTTTTCAATGTTTGACTTCAGTTCGTATAAAAATTGTATTATATTTGTATAATTTCGTAATCGGATGTGTCCTATAGTGACAGACGGGCTGCCGTCATTGGCTTGTCATCGTCAGAGACAGAACAGCGAGACAGTGCCTTTGGACGGGAGCGGATTTTAATTAAATTTCGCATTTAAATTCTTTGTCAACCGATACATTTCGGTCCGAACTGGGTAAAGATCGATACTCACATTTCATAAAAGTAAAATATAGCTGGAACGTGAAGCTGATATTTAAATGCCACATTTCGCTGAGGTCCATAATTATTGTGATGTACTCCTGAATGGCCTGGGGCCTAGACACAGGGGAAACGAGGTGTAATTAACCACAGAACTTGTATAGCCTGGAATATTTTATTTTAGAAAAGGTATCAGTGATACCAACCGATTTTATACGTTTTCTATGGTAGAAAAGGTTAAGAAGTGGCGAGTTACAGCTTCTGATTTGAAAGGTACTCAATTCGAATCCAGGCTGGCGGCCGTTTATCCTTGTTTTCCTCAGGCAAACACCATCAAGCCCTCTGGTGTGTTTACCGATTAACTCTTGCAACTGCTTAGACACTACGACTGTTTTATTCTTATATTATTTAACGATGCTCTTTCATGTGCAAAGTTATACGTTACAGCGTCGAATGAGGTGGGAAGGTGACCAAGAATGGTGAGTAGGCAAGGTTTTGTAAGAAGATTTCCGTGGCCTATTTTAATGTATTATCCCGACATGTGCCTGACGAAAACTGGGAAGACAACGACGTAGTCACTCAGGTTGCTCGGCTGGAACGCTGCTTCTTGTGGTTTTCCTCAGTCCTTACCTAATCTAACGCCTGTATTTTACTTAAAATAGATTGTGGTTTATTCCTCGAATACGCGTTCAATTTTATCATTCCTAAATGTCTCGTATTTTTCATTCGGAGGTACGTGGCTTCAGCTGTTGATACAGTTTTGAAAAATAGCCAAGTAAACAAGGATAACTGAACAATATGGCAGCTAAATAATGTGATACATAAACAAAACAGAACACTATCAACTTATGTCCTTATCATCGTCAGCTGTCGACTCTTGAATAATGTATTATTCGTTTGTGTTTCAAACAAATTAATGCTGGTTGTCCATTTGAAGATAACGCCGGAAGTTAGCATAGGCGAAGTTTCGACTTGACACAAGTCTGTTTTTCAACGAGCGTAATAAATTCAGAGAATGCCATCTCAAGGATATCTGTCGTTTTTGTCATGTAAACACTGCAAAGCGTCTATAAAACAAATATTAGCTTTTTTGTGGGCAACTCATGTGGGCCGTATAGATACAATTTTTTTATTGAATTTTTATTCACATCAATTATATAGTCAAGGAGACTGAGATGAACGGACTTGTAGCACGCATCAGAACATGGAGAAGTTTAGTTGTACAATCTTAAGAGATAATAACATTATGAGACCTAAGCACAGATGGCAGTATAATATTAAATTGATCTTGAAATTGGATGTGATTAACTTTCGTGGTCCATAAAGGGCGGAGAAGTTCGTGGACGTCGGAACGAAAGACTCTCCGTAGCGTCGAATGGTACGGTGGTTATGAAATGTTGAATTTGATCGGCTCTTGAAGTTGTACATTGGATTAAAATGGCTTGGGTCGTTAGCGTTTGTGAGCGCCTTTGAATTTCTTCAGCAGACAATCTGTTGCCCGGCTGAATAGCTATCAGCACTTACATTCAGATGAGTTCGAGGGGCATTCCCACACGTCTGTGGTTAGGAAGGACGCCGCAAAGTCAATTAATAAGGCATGCGTGCGTTGTTGCACTGGACATTTGATGCGTAATTTGTGGAGTCCTTGGGAAGAAGATTGGTTAATTGTTTCTGAATGTCTGTCAACAATAACTTTAGAATAAGACAGTTAATTTTAATCCGCTATAAACGGTTTAATTAAACAAGTAAATAGGATAATTAAGATGTCAAGTTCTCGTCTATTCGGACTGAAAATTTGAATGCCGGAGAACATAATTTTTTTTAAAAGAAATCTCTGTATGCGTCGTTCCCTTTGCTATCTTTAAATTACAGATTTCTGTCTTTCCGCCTGTGTATTTCAATAAGAAGTCACGTTGGTCTAGCGGTTAGAACGCTGGCCTTGTAATCCAGGGCTCTCGGGTTCGATTCCCGGCGGTGCCCGAATTTATAACTTGTGTTGGGCAAGGCCGTGGTCTAGGCAACACGGAGTTTTTCTCCGTGGCATCCCAACAATTACTCCATTCACACACAGAAGAAGGCAATGGCAAACCACTTCTGGATCATCTGCCAAGAACGTATATGAACAGGTCCCAGTCCGAGAAAAGGATGGAAGGATCCTGTTCATATGGACCTGTCGTCAGACAGAACACTACAAATAAATAAATAAATAACGCAACGCGTAAGGAACAGCAGCGAGATGCCTTTGTCGGAGACGCCCAGTGTTCGAAGACCTTTGTACATCTTCGAACGTTTCCATCAAAATGTAACCAGAAACTGAATTCTTGTATCTCTGCCGTCCAATGCGGAGTTATTGATCAGATGTCGTGAGGAAGCTGAGGAATTTGCTAATCCGACTGGAAAAGGAGCTCGATCTTCGGCTAACAAACACGAAGCTGACTAATGGAATAAATTGTTGTTAACAGACAAATGATGTTTCAACATCGATATTATGCAGTAACGCCGACACTCAGAATGACGATTGACGAACGACGTAAATGTCTTAAATTGTTGAATCCTCGTATTGTCGCCATTTTGTTTTGTTCCTTTGTGTCTCAGAATCAGAATCAATGGATCATAAATAAAGAAATTTATTGGCGAAATCAGTGAATAATTTATTTTTCTGTAGTTACCAAACAAAATTATTCCGGATAGGTGGTCGTTGTTTCTCGTTCATGCCACGAAATTGTTAAAAGACTGATTCACGGCTCTTTACATGGAAAGACCGAGCGTTCACGGGAGGTTTCGCCCGCAACATTCTTCATTTTCGATGCGGTGCGGTGGCCGCGCAGCTGATGGCGGTGGCAATGTAACTCGAAGAATTCTACGAACACGTCTGTCTCATGTCAAGGTCACGACACTATCAGTCCGAGGGTTTGCCGGATAGAGGCCTTTTAAGTTTTGCAGGTCATTCGAAAGTTAATTTCTCAAAGGCATTATATCTGCCGATCTGTAGGAATCTGAGTGAAAATACTCACGTCAGTTTGAGCTCAGTGCTGGAGAATTCTGGAGAATTCCAGGATAAGTTCTGGAGAAATCCTGGAAAAGTCCTGGAGTAGTGTCGGAGAAGTCTTGGAGACGTTATGCGCAAATTTGTTATTTATTTAGAATTGCTGGAGAAGTCCTGGAGAAGTCCTGGAAGGTTGTTTTAGAAGTCCTTAAGCGGTGCTGGGTTTGATGCTATGCGGGTCGGTTATTTTGGATTCGTTTAAGTTTGATTGGGATAAGTTACATTGGATTAGGTTGAGTTTTAGGTTAAGTTTGATTAAGTTAGGTAATTTAAGGGTAGGTTATATAATGTTGTTGTTTTATGATGGGATGGGTTGTCCTGGAGAATTTCTATCGTGTTCATTGGGTGGTTGTGGGGATCTCCTGGAGAAGTGCTGGATAATCCTGGAAAATTGCAGGAAAATTCCTGGAGAATTCCTGGAAAAGTCGTAGAGTAGTGTCGGAGAAGTCCTGGAGAAGTGCTTTCATAACATGTGAAGCGAACTTTCACACACTGGACTTCGAATATCAGTGACGTTTATTTCGTGTGTAATAATCAATTAGTAGGCTGTAAGAAAGATTGTGCGTTCGAGTAATCTATTAATCGGGCAATGACAGTGCAATCTCAAACAGCCGCAATATTGCGGACATCTTAACGGTTTCGTCACAATTAAAATCGATTAAATTGCGTGCGTTTATGGACGTTTTTGTCGGTTGTGTTCCAAGAACATTGCAGTCCTCTTACCACAATCTTCTCTTCCATGACATATGTG